GCCTGATGATTCAATTCTGGTTGCTATGGTAACGAACTTTCAACTCATAATTTATGTGATTTGTATTCTATTCTTTTTTTTTTTTTTATTAATTGCTACTGTGCTTGGAGTGATGTGAGCTGTGTCGTCACGTGGACGGCATTCCTTCTATTTCAAAGTGTTATGTAAAATAAACAGTGATATTACAGTCCGCTTACCTTTTTTTTGTGAACTTATTCTTAACATTCCTGGTCCGTAGCGACCGGAGAGAAGAGTTAGCGATCTTTGGATATGATGTGATTTATTCAAATATTAGCAAGTTAAATCACTTTCGATTTGTGGATTAATAATGCGTGTGGCATCTGTGGTGAAATCAGTTTTCGATTTGTGGAATATTCCCGTGGCATGGTGTAGCGTAGAAACCTCAACATTGGGGTGAGTACGTTCCAATATTTCATCTTCTTTTGCTAGAGTTGTTAGTATATATTTTATTGTTATTCATAATGGCTGATTTGAAACCAGTTTTAACTAAAAAGAAGGTTCTAAAAAGCAATATAACAACGTTTAAAGGCAAGGTAAATTCGAATTTAGAACAAGCAGAAATTTTAGAGGTAAAGTTGTTCGAAACGAAACTAAATGCTTTTAACAGTGAGCTTCGTTCTATTTATGAGGAAATATTTTTGTTGTGTCCTGAAAAAGATTGTGATACATTCATTACGGAACAACAAACAATACAAGAAACTTTAGATGAATTATGGATAACTATAAATAAAAAGTTACAGAAACTTTCCAGTGACTCTGTTATCGAAACAAGTAGTGTAGCAAAAGTAAATTCGTCTGACGTTCGATTACCAAAATTAGAACTTTCTACCTTTACAGGGGAAAATATAGATGAGTGGATTAGTTTCTATGATGATCTTTTTAAGGCTAGTGTAGATAACAATCCGAATATTTCTAAATGTCAGAAGTTTCAATATTTAAAGGCTTCTTGTAAAAAAAAGGCTCTGTCTATTATTGAGTCAATTCCTATTTCTGATGCTAATTATGATATAGCGTTGCAACTTTTACAGGAACGTTATTCTAATAAAAGAGAATTAACTAATGCATTAATCCGTAAAATGTTTAATTTGCCAAATGTTTCTGATTCAGCTCAAGCTATTTTACATTGTGTTGATGTAGTGAATGAATGTGTACGCTCTTTGAGAACTCTTAAGCTAGAAGTTTCTGATCTTTCTGATGTTCTTTTTGTTTATCTGATAACTGAGAAATTAGATAAAAACATAAAATTTTGGTGGGAAAGAACTTTGAAAAAAGATGAATTAGGTACTTTAGATAATTTACTCGAGTTTCTAAAAGACCACGCTAGAACCCTTCAGAATAGTAGAAACCAATCTAAAGATTTTAGGAAATTTTCTAATTCCAAATTAACTTCTTTAGTGTCGAGTAAAAACAGTTGTATAATGTGCAAGGAAGATCATTCTCTTCACAAATGTGGTAAGTTTTTAAACTTAAGTGTCCAAAAAAGAATCGAATTTGTTAAGAAACACAAACTTTGTTTTAATTGTTTATCTTCTCAGCCTCATTTAGTGAAAAACTGTCGTAGTTTACATAAATGTATGACGTGTAAGTTACCTCATCATACTGTTCTTCATTTTGATCGAAATATCAAAACTAGTGAAAATGAGAAACCAAAACAAACGTCCTCACTCTCCCCCAGAAGCCGAAGTGTTCTTACCAAAGAATGAAGTCGTTACAAATGCCACAACATGTACAGGACAATTTAGTTATTCTAAAGGTGAATCAAAACGTGTATTACTGTGTACTGCTCTCATTAAAGTTAGTGATTCCAATGGTAAAGCCATCCCTTGCAGGGCTTTACTAGACTGTGGCAGTGAAGCCAGCTTTATAAGTGAAGAGTGTGTGTCAGAAAACTAAAGTTAGGTAGATTTAACAAAAAAATTGAAGTATCGTGCCTTGGTTCGTTCAACACTGTAACAAGTGGAGAAGTGGAATTAATTTTTTACCCCGCACTTTGAGTCAAATTCCAAATTTCGAACATATGCATTCGTGATTCCAAGGATAACTTCAGATGTGCCTAACGTGTCGCTTCCTTCTAAAATTGCGAATCATTTTGACGATCTAGTCTTAGCTGATCCTAAGTTCTATGAAAGAAAACCTATAGATATTTTGTTAGGTGTAAATGTATTTTTTACTATGCTTAAGGGAGACATCATAAAGAGAGGAGAATCATTACCCTTTGCAATTTGTTCTCAGTTGGGTTGGATCATTTCCGGGAACACTATTACTGATGATTCGAATCTAACTAACACTTTTACAGTGAATAATCTTCAGTTGAATACAAACGAATTAGTTGAAAGATTTTGGTCTTTAGACTCCATTCCTGGAAGTCAAACGTATTTCAAGTGAAGATAAAAAATGTGAAGAGTTCTTTAAAACAACACACTTCCGTGATCAAAATGGTCGTTATGTAGTGAAACTTCCATTTAAAGATAACCCTTCAAGGTTGGGTAATTCTAAAGATCTTGCTTTACAAAGATTTAAATCTTTAGAGAGAAATCTCTTAAGATCTCCTGATACATATGATATGTATAAACATTTCATGAAGGAATACTTGGATCTCGGGCACATGGAACCAGTCCGTAGTTCAGAGTCCCCAAGTCAGGCATACTACATGCCACATCATGCAGTAATTAAGGAATCTAGCTCTACGAGTAAAATACGTGTGGTATTTAATGCTACTAGTAAGTCTTCATCAGGACTATCTCTTAACGACATATTGATGACAGGTCCCAGAATACAACAAGAGCTGTTTCCAGTTTTGGTCAAATTCAGATGTTACCCAGTAGTTGTCACAGCTGATATCATGAAAATGTTTAGACAAATTCTAGTTAATGAAGAGGATAGAAACTTTCAAAGGATATTTTGGCGGGACAGTCCAAGTGATCCTATTCAAGAATTTCGACTTAATACTGTCACATACGGCACTGCCTCGGCTCCATATTTGGCTACTCGTGCTTTATACCAACTTGCCTACGATGAGCAGAATAACTATCCTTTAGCTTCGAAGGCTGTACTTCAAAATTTTTTTTGTAGATGATTGTTTGGTAGGTGCTCAAAACACTGAGTGCAAAAATCTAGTAAATCAACTCTTGCAAATGTTAGAACGTGGAGGATTTCTTCTGCGTAAATGGTCATCCAATGACTTGTCAGTGTTAGAGAATATACCCCAGGAGTTGAGAAATGATTCTGAGGCTATGAAAATTCAAGACGATAGCTCAATCAAAGTTTTAGGAATTAATTGGAACCCCCGTGAAGACTACTTTAACTTTTCCGTATCCATTTCTGGTGAAAAGTTTAAATACTCTAAAAGAGATATCCTTTCTGATTTAGCGAAAATATTTGACCCATTGGGTTGGCTTGCTCCTTGTATTATTTATGTCAAAATCTTGATACAAGACATGTGGAAACTCCATTTATCGTGGGATGAACCTGTTAGTGATGAGATTGCTAACAAATGGAAGATTTTCCGAAATGATTTACATCTTATTCAACAATTAAAAATACCGAGATTTGTTTTGATTCCTGACGTGAACTATATTGATATCTGTGCTTTTTGTGATGCCTCCGAGAAAGGCTACTGTGCAGCAATTTATTTGCGTTCAGTGTCACGTAATTTGGACATCAAAGTAACACTCTTAACATCAAAAACAAGAGTTGCCCCTCTGAAAGTGCAATCATTACCTCGATTAGAGTTATGCGCCGCAGTTTTGTTAGTGAATTTGCTTAAATCAGTGTTAGAACATTTAGAGTTTCCTATACGTAAAGTTTTGGCCTGGACAGATTCAACTGTTGTACTGTCCTGGATTTCTGCAGAACCATACCGTTGGGTTCCCTTTGTTGCAAACCGCGTTGCTAAAATACAGAATACAATTCCTAATGTAAGGTGGAACCATATCAATGGAAAGCGGAACCCAGCTGATTCAGGTACAAGAGGAATGTTTCCAGCAGAATTTCTGAAGTGTGAGCGATGGTTCATTGGACCTACTTGGTTATATTCACAAGATTTCGAACCATGTCCTGACAGTGAACATCTTGCTGATGTAGATTATGAAGGAGTTCGTAGAGAAGAAAGAAAAACTTGCATTTCAGTATCTTGTGCGGTAAAGGAAAATGACATTTTTAAACGGTATTCATCTTGGACAAAATTACGTCGTATAGTTGCATTATGCCTAAGATTTATTTACAACTGTCGAAACTTCTCCGAAAATCGTTTGAGAGGTTTTCTGACAACCGATGAGCTTCGATTAGCTACAAAAACAGTGATAAAAAATGTCCAAGAATCATATTTTCCTCAAGAGCTCTCTTATTTAAAAACATCGAGAGAATTAAAAGGTGTGAGCAGCCGAGTAATACAATTAACTCCCTTCCTTGATGAAGAAGGCGTCATTCGAGTAGGTGGTCGCTTAAAAAATGCAAACATTCCTGAAAATAGCAAACATCCTATTTTGCTTCCAAAGGAAGGACATGTCACTAATCTCATCGTAACTCATTACCATGTCAATTATTTGCATGCTAGTCAAGAGTTATTAATAAGCACTTTACGAATGCAGTTTTGGATTCTTGCGGTGAGAAGCGTAGTGAGAAAGATTATTCACAGATGTATTCCTTGTATTAGAAATCGAGGCAAGACTGTGACCCAGATAATGGGTGATTTACCCTCGCCCAGAGTTCAACCATCAAGACCTTTTGCAGTCACCGGTGTTGATTATGCTGGTCCATATTCTATTAAGTCCCAAGTTGGGAGAAGAACAAAAACTTTCAAGTGTTACGTATCCATTTTTGTGTGTTTCTCAACAAAAGCTGTACACTTGGAGTTAGTCAGTGATTTATCAACTTCAACGTTTTTAGCAGCTCTAAAAAGATTTATCGCCCGACGAGGCAAACCATCTAAAATTTCGAGTGACTGTGCTACTAACTTCAAAGGTGCTAGTAAGGAACTGAAGGAGATTTATAAAAATGCAGCTCGCATTGAGAAAAGCAGTGAATTATGTGACTACATTACCTCAGAAGGTATAACTTGGTTATTTAATCCTCCGACATCTCCTCACTACGGTGGCTTGTGGGAATCTAATGTGAAATCCATGAAATTTCATCTTAAACGAGTATTAGGATCCACACTTCTAACTTACGAGGAATTTTTAACAGTGCTTACACAAGTGGAAGCGTGTATGAATTCCCGTCCTCTTTGTGCGATGTCTAGTGATCCAAACGACTTTAGTGCATTGACTCCAGGTCATTTTCTGATTGGAGCCCCTTTGCTTGCCATTCCGGAATCTGACTTGAGTGATGTGAAATCTTCACGACTTAAACGTTGGTCTCTAGTTCAACAGACTGTGCAACATTTTTGGAAACGATGGTGTGCAGAATATTTAACAACACTTCAACAACGTGCTAAGTGGTTTCGTGCGTCTCCAAATCTAAAATGTGGTGATTTAGTTCTGATCAAAAACGAACAACTGCCTCCAAACCAATGGAAAATTGGAAGAATTGCCTTAATTCATCCAGGTAGTGATAAAAAAGTTCGAGTGGCTACAATCCATACAGCCGCTGGTGATTTCAAACGAGCTGTTACTAAATTGTGTCTTATCCCCAATCATGACTAATATGAACTATGAACTATTGACTTTTTTCATATTATTGAACTTTAATTTTAGTTATATTTTCAATTAATTTTTTTGTTAATGTTATTATGTATGCTTTAACTATTTGTCTTTTTTGAACCCTTAGAAGGCTTCAAGGCCGGGGCTGTTAGTATTTTTTGTTACCAAACGAATTACTAGTGTGTCTTTGCAACATAGATGGCGTTGCCGCCTGATGATTCAATTTTGGTTGCTATGGTAACGAACTTTCAACTCATAATTTATGTGATTTGTATTCTATTCTTTTTTTTTATAAAATTGCTACTGTGCTTGGAGTGATGTGAGCTGTGTCGTCACGTGACGGCATTCCTTCTATTTCAAAAGTGTTATGTAAAATAAATAAGTGATATTACAGTCCGCTTACCTTTGTTTTTGTGAACTTATTCTTAACAAGTAATATGGCTCCTTTGCTGCATATCAACTTAAACAACTTACATTGAAAGAAATGTTTAATAAGGTAAACAAATAAATATTAAGCCTTTTTTTTGTAAATTTTGATACCATTTACTTCATAAATCACGATTTCATATTTTTAATGTAATAATTTCTACATGTCATCTTACTAGATTTAAGCTCATAATCTAATATCCAGAAAAATCCCAAATCTGGAATCAACGAAGTCCAGACAAGTCCAGATTTCTGACTTTGTACTGTATTTATATCTTTTCATGTTATATTCATGTATTTCATTATTTTTTATGCAATTGAGGGCTGTTAACGGATAAGCAAGTTGCCACAAAACATCCATAAAATCTTTGCATTGGTTTTTATTTATTTATTTATTTATTTATTTTTTTTACTTACTTGTTTCTCAAAAAACAAATTAGTTTTTATACAGAAGGATATAAGTTAACTGCTGTTTCATACAAAACAGCAAGCAGTCAAATATTTTCGAAGTTACTGGGTTGGGTGTATTGGTACTCATTACTCACAACTTTGAAAGTGATGTTCCTAAAAAAGGCACAATAAAAGGATACCATAGAATATCTCATTACCAGTGATCATGTGGTGCTGAGTTCATAAAGGAAGTGACAGTTTTGTTGCTATTTTAGAATATTATTGGGATAACAAATCATTATCTGTTAATATATTAGTTAATACTTCTAGAATGTTGGATAATGTTTCTATCTGTTAAATTTGTCTGTTAATTTTGTAATTAATAAGTGTCCTGTTCCTTCAGACATCTGTTGGAGTGGTTCATGGACATATGGTATGTCTGCACGAAATTGCATAAACATATTTTCTCATTAACTCCATAGTTGATGGAAAAATATGTTAAGTAGAGAAAATTTTGTTTGAATTCAGCCCCCCCCCCGAAAAAAGGAAACGAAAAGAAGGTTTCTTGAGATGGTTCTGTCTGACTGTTATTAATAAATATATTTCACAGTTCTTCTGTCTCACCTATTAAATATCAATTATTTGTATTCAAACCATTTTATTTTGAAGTTCATGCATCTGGAACTATTTTCTAAATTATGCTTATTAGTGACCAAATGGCATCATACACCAATATTTCTGTGACATTTCAAGAAGACAGGTGAGTATAAAGAATTACTGATACTCTTTTGCGTTACGTTATTTAGTGTGCCAGCTGCTAATTTCTCCTGCTTGGCTGCAGATAGGGTAATATATAAAGTGGACGTTCTTTTAGTAGTGTAGTTTTGATATTGTAATAATGCTATTATATTTTTAGTTTTAATATTGTACAGAGTCTGTTCACACATTTTTTAGACGATGTATATTGTATTCACAAAACTAAATTACATAAAATTCTTGTGTTTTAAATGTTCTATTTGACATCCCTTATTCTGAACTATCTTTCGACACCGCAGTTTCCAGGATAATAATGCCTTTTGAAGTGGCAGAAGAGGTATTTTGTCCCATTCCTCCTGAACAGCTTTCCAGAGTCCTGTTACGGTTTTGGGACAGCGTTTGGATAATGCAGTTTTTTAAAAGTCCGAAAGCACAAAAATCTATAGGTGACACATCGGGATTTTAGTTGGGATCAGTGAGGGTATGGCCTTGATACCAATTTTTTGTTCCATTTCTTTTAGGAAATTTACAGTGGATTTTGATGTGTGACTGCTAGCTTTGTCCTGATGGAGTCTCACAGATTGATGTCACTGTGGGTAAAGTGATGGTATTTCATTCAGACAAATTGGTGATAAAATATGTTCCTGATAGTATTTGGAGTTAATCTTGACATTTTTTTTTTGCACTCTCTTTAACTTGCCAATATAAGAAAAACCAGCAACAATCATGAATTTCTTAGAAAAACTTTCTTTCGATTCTTTGAACCATGTACTTAAAATTTTTTCTCCGCTTTTATGATAATAAATGGCTCTTTTTTTGTTACAATCATTTAAATACACCCATGCTTCATCTATTATGACAATTTTTTCCATTTTCTTTGATAAGTGTTTCCTCATATAGAATTCTGCAGCGTGTCCCTGCTTTGAGCGATATGCTTTGGAAGAAGATGATGCGCATTGAGTTTTTTTTTTCCACTTTCTTAAGATTTAAATCAACGTTTATCATTTTGTTTACAGTGGACACCGAGCATTTAAATGATTTTTGCAATTGTCCTTTGACTAGGGGGATTTTTCTTTTAACATTAAACACGTACCTTTGCATAGTCGCGAAGATGTCCGTTTTTTCCTTGGATACTTGTTTGGAATTTTTAGTCCCACTTGAGGCTCCAATTTGACGTTTTTTTTTTCCTTTCTTGTTGATGATATTACCTATCGACGCTTTAGATTCACAAAACCATGACTCTCACATCGTTTTTGGATAACAGAGTATGCATATTTCTCTTCGGAAAGAGCGTAAATGTAGCCTTCGAACCACTGCTTTGTTAAATTCGCCATTTTGAATAAAAACGAAACTTTCAAGCCACAGGTGCTGCCAATGGACTAAATTAAGGTACTGGAGCATTTTTAATCATTCCGCCAATTAAGCGTCTAATTTGTCGACCCGCCTGGCACCAACGGAATCCGTCATTTGAACATCCGGGAGGGGAAAGTTTCGAAATATGAAGCAGATCGATTACCTAGTTCCTGAATTACGAATTTTTAGTACATTTTTCTTAATTAGACAAATTGAGCCGGAAAAATGCACCCCCCCGAAAAAAAAGTAATTAGGGAACTAATTAGTTGATTTTTTTCCAATTTTGAAGCTTTCGCCTGATACATGCTCAAATGGCAGATGCCTTTTATTCCACACTGTTTTACGAATTAGGAGCCTAATAATTAGCAGGGGAATTAAAACGCCCTAATACCTTTTTCTTCCCTTCCAAATTCTTTGTTGACAGATTGTGATTCGATTCAAAAGCGATGGGTTTTAAGGGGTGGGCAGCTGGTATCCCATGGAGCATTCAAATTATCAAGGCCATTCACCAGGGATGAAATTAACGTAGTGGAGTATTTTTAGTCATTATACTAATTAATCATCTAATTTGCCAATCTTTCTAGAACAAAGGGAATCCCCCCTTTAATCATCTATCAGTTTTAAATTTCTAAATTTGGAGCCCATTGGGTTATTATTTCCCGAGATACGAAATTTTAGTGCATTTTTCGGACAAATTCCTGATTTTTGGATTGATTAACTAAGCAACTTTGAGTACTCCAAATTAATAATTCAAATAGTGAAAATCAGCATGCTCATTTGTCACACTGATCTAAGTAATCATTCACTGCTTTTGTTAGTATTGTTGTTTAAGCAATTACTGTTATTTACTGCTTAAACAATGCTTAATTAATTACTGTTATTTACTGCTTTATTAGACAATTAATTACTGCATTATTACTACTATAGTGCTGACTATTATTAGATACTTAATGCTATTTAAATACATCAATTAGTATGTTTTGTGTTATCCATTAAGCAATTACTGTCATTGAGTATGACAAATAATATCATTCATTAAGCATTTATTTACTTTGTTAATCATTATCTAATTAGTATTGTGCTGACTTTAATTTTCTTCTCAATGCGGTTGAATATGTTAATCAGTATCAATTTGTATTATTCAGTATCATTTATAAGTGTGGCATGACTGGCTGGATGGGTGTTTTCGTGATTTTTCGCATGTGTGACATATATGCAGTATCTTGTTTAATATTAATTGTAATTGATATCTAAATATATTTTTATTTCCAGTGCACAAGACTCTGTATTGGAAATTCTAACAGGGTTCGTAGCGGTCGTTATAAGTGCTTATAAGTCCTTATATTTGAAAATAAAATATAAAGGCCCTTATAGGTGCTTACTTTTTCTTTAAAGCCCTTATTTTTTTTGTTTTTAGTGCTTATTTTTTGCTTTCAGTGCTTTTTTTTTTTTTTAAATGAAAGCGCAATTTTCCCCCGTACCAAAGCCAAAACTAAATAAACAACTTTTCTTCCTAATATGGAATGTCAGATGGTGAATCATACTCCCGGAAATAGCTTTTCTCCCTTTTTCTGCATTAACATAACCTTTGGTCTGCACGGAGAGTACAGACAGGTGCCCGTCGTTCTGTTGCTCAAAGAATTGCGAAAGCAGTTGAAAATTTCGGTACATTCGGCATTCTTTGCCTCCCACCCAAATACTACACACGTTTGAATTTCTATCAAGATCTTAATAATTTGCTTTCTCGTTCCGCTTGGTCAGTTCATATTCGTGTTTATTATGATCGTTGTGCTTATATTATGAGCATATGTATGGATGTTTATAAAAACATAGTTGCAGTAACTGCTGAAGTATAGTAAACTTCCAAAAATGGTTGTGTTTTAACACAGATTAGCTTTCTAAGGAATAATATTCGGAATGGCTTAAATAAAGGGAAAGTAATTTAATAGTCAAAATAATTTCATTTTTTTGGCCAATACATTATACAGTACGAATGTTGGGAGGTTCTTCCCTTTTTCCGCAATATCTCGAATATTGAAACTGTTATAGTTCACTGCAAAACAAGCAACGGATTTTTT